GGGATTGGGTCATCAGGTACCCGCCCCCGTATTTGGCCGCTAGCACTTTCACCTGGTAGATGAAGTTGAAGAGCTCCATGGTGCAGGCCAACTGGTGTCGACCACAGATCTGCGGGAAGCATGCGATCATCCGATGCGCGTTCGGGCAGATCTGCCCGGGCACCACCTGGTAATAACCCAGCCATGAGGGAGGAGGCCTGAAAAAGGGAAAGTGATCGGGGCCATGAGGGAGTCGTAGTGCATCCCGAGCCACTTTCCCCGGTGCCGCTCGATGATATTCCCGAGCTGCCGGCTTGTGTCAAACTCGACCCGACCGACGAGAGTTGCGGCGATTTTGGCTGCTTCGCCCTTGGTCAATTTGCTCATCTGGGTTTCGACGCTCTCGCTGTTGAGGAATTCGAACCCGTCTCCGCCTGGCGCCGCTGGCTCGGCCAGGTCCTCTTCGACCAGCTCTCCGTCATCTGCCCGGTCACCCCCTTCGGGCCCAACCTGAGGGTAATCCCCAATTACCCTCGTAGGCGTTTCCCTAGCGCCTTCGGCCGGGGAATTCCGTCCGCTCGTGGACGTTTCCCCGCTCTCTTCGCTCAAGCTCCCCGACCCACTGGAGCTCGACCCCGACGTCCTAGACGAGCTCGATGATCTTTCTTGCTCGGGGATTTGTTGCGGTCGTTGAGCGACCTCCGGAGAATAGGACATGATGTCCACCTCCTCGCTGATTTGCTCGACCTCGTCGTCGTAGTCTGCGACCGAGACGTTCTGGCTGTCCGAGTCTGACATCTTTTCTACCTAAAGGTCGGTCGGGGTTAGTATAGGGCTCGAGACGTTAGGTCGGAGTTAGTCCTATCCTACTGCTATGCAAAGCCTAAAATAAAAACAAAGCAAGGAAGTAGAGAGCTTACCGATCCGGGAGACTTTGAAGAAGTTTGAAGGTGAGTTGCTCGGTTGATCTACTGAGGAGCTCGTTTGGGACTCTCTGAGGGTGACGATTGGATCAGAAGATTGAGGAAAGTTCAAATGAAGGCCTCAAGGGCCTATTTATAGGAGAGTGTTTGGGCGGGAAACCAACCCACTTGCGCGACGTGACCCGCGCTGATTCCGAGGCAACCGTTGCAGTCGTAGAGGCCGGCAGTCGTCGACACGTGGCGAGAGAGGGAATGACAGCTGGCCGGTCGGTTTGGCGGCTGGCGGTTGGGCTTCTTCATCCCGTCCCATTTTTTCTCGGACGATCAAAAAGGCCCGGGCTGGGGGGGCTCTTGGTAGGGAATATCCCGACCGACATAGTGCTGTCCCGACCGGTGTGCTTTCGTCCTTTTCTTCTTGTCTTTGCAGGTAACAGGTCGGGTTTCTTGTGAAAGATCCGGTCGGTTTCCGACCGGGAGTTACCCGAGCGGCAGTGTCGACCACCGAGCGGTAGCCCTTTGGCGAGAGAGCTAACGAGGGACACGTGGCGGCTCCACGCGTTGACAGGCAGGGCACCCGGGAAGACGACACGTGGTGGCTACGTGGGAAGCATGCCGAACGGCCGGATTTGTGTCTCCGGCTCCGCGGCTATAAATACCCGCAATAGCGACAGTGTGAGGGACTTTTGGACGATCGATAGGTTGTTGTTAGAGAATTCCGACCGCAGTCAGTCGGTACTCAGAGCAACCAAATAGATTGTACTTAGAGCCTTCATTGATCAATAAGAGTTATTTACTTGCTTTAATTGGTCTCTTATTTATTTAATTACCGCTTACGTGGCAATTAACACTATCAATAGTATAATACATTAAATCACAATTATGTCATAAATCTTTCCCAATTTTAAACAATAGAACGAAAATTAAAAATGAAACGAAAATATTTCGGTAATAATATTCTACATCATCAAATAAAGGTAAATTTAAAAAGAAAATGAAATATTTCAATAATTATATTCTACATCATCAATAGGAAAGTCATATTTAAAATAATAGTAAAGGTAAATTAAAAATACAACGGAAAATAAAAATGAAACGAAAATATTTTAATAATAATATTCTACATCATCAATTAAAAATAGAATAAAAATTAGATAAAAATATCACTACATATGATATTCTAATTGATTAATTGACTGAAAATAAAAAAGAATAATTAGCTGAAAATGAATATGATATTTGTAATTGACTGAAAATATAAAAGTAAATGAATATTAATAGTTAACTACAAATAAAAATGATCCATAATTGACTAATATAAAAAATAAATGGTTAGATCATTACATTTTAATTAAAAATGGAACAGAAATTAGGTACAAATAGCACTGCATATGATATTCTAATTGACAAATTGACTGAAAAAAAAATAATAATTGGCTGAAAATGAATATGATATTACTAATTTACTTAAAATATAAAAGGATCGCTAATTAATTAATATTCTACCATTATATATTTTCATCCGAGTCACCCATCTTGATGAACTGAAGGGGTTAGCTATAGACGATGATGGACAAGATTGTGTTTGCTACTACCAATGTCGTCTACAAAAATGTTTCAATAATGTGTAAATACGATCATTGATATTATGTTTTTTTAAATGACAAAATTGCTATAGATCAAGACAAAAAAATATCTCTCTCATACAACTAAATTACGATAGCAATGCATTCCTATAACTGAGTTGCTAGAGAACGAGCACATTTGCCTAATTTATAACAAAAAATACTAAACAATGATGAATAAAATCTCCAAAGTTACAGCACCGCTGCGTACATCTATACATTAGCTATTAATTTGAGCAATTATTTGCTCAAATTCAAGCAATGATGACATCAAAACACATAAATGATCCAAATCATATCTTCAATTGCACTATATAATATTTGATGTTCTAATTTAAATAATTATATATCGATCCAAATATTCTTAATATATTACCACAAGTCTATTCCGTGCATCGCACGGGGACAAATACTAGTATTATGTAATACCAATATACCATTGTGAAATCCAGTAAAGATAAATTGAAAAAAGGAAACTAATATTATTAATTGATTGAAAATATAAAAGGATTCTAATGAAAAAGGAAACAGAAATTAGGCAAATTGAAAAAGAAAATGGATATTATTAATTTACTGAAAAGTATAAAGCCTAATTGATTGAAAATATAAAAAGAAATTAATTCTCACATTCTCTATCTCTACCTATAAATACAATGGATTAGTGACTAGAAAAATTATAACTCTTCCTTTTTGTACTGGGGTGAGTTCTATATTGCGTCTTTCATTTTCCAATGGCACAATTCTTAGTTTATGTTCTTATTTCTTTTCTGCATCTTTTGCAAATATTGCAGGATACAAATATAGAGACAATTGAAATAGTTCTGAGCAACTATTTACATGCATTAAAGAGAGTTGATGACTTCCAACACCACTTGTGCTCACATTGTAGAAGGTACGCACAATAACTGGATAAACTAGAATGATGTTAAGCATTGGCAATTACAACGAATTTATAAATTTACATGTAATATGCATTATTATTATATAATAGTTGACACTACATTTAATTTTTTAAATTACTTCTCTTTTATTTTTTTCTATATTTATTTTAATAATAATATAATTGTCTAATTGTTGTAGCAGGAAGTCACAACGAAATTGTTGGTAGTCAACTTCATCCTACACTCATTTGGAATAGAATCAATGTTAGAGTGCTCCGTATTGTTCATCTTCCAAAGGCAAGAGGTTTTGAAACAATAAACTCTATAGAGTGTGTAGTCCATAATAAAGAGGTTTTTTTATTTTTATTTTTTATGATACTATGATCTTAATTTTAAATTTTTAATAGTTTGTAGTTCAAAACTTTTAGTTTATGCATATGGTTGTTTTATAATATTTTCTTTTTACATTACAAATTCATGGTACTTTTCTACATATGCATATTCTTCGAAAGAATGTGATTCAAATAATGATGGATATGTTAATAGCTCTAAAGATTGAAATAGTTATTTCAACATTCAACTTCACTTATGATTTTATATTTCATTATTGTTATGTAATAGGAATTTCTCACTTCTCAATAAGAATATGTTTCTGGTTTTGAGAATTTTGAGTAATATTTACCTTAATTTACTACTACTCTGCACTATTCTTTGAAATTTTTGAAATAGAATCACACAGACTTTTACAAATCATTTACGAAATAGAATCAAATTTACGAATGTTGTTACATTTTTGCCAATTTTTTGTTAAGAGTTTTCCAATTTGTATCATTTAACAATTTAATCATTTTTAATTTATATATAACTTAATAAAGCTTATTCTGTAACCAAGTATTTTGTAATATTTACGGTGTGTATATATATGTGTGTGTGTGTGTGTGACCTCACGATCAAAATAAATTATAAAACAATTTATGTATATAATTTTTTGCTCCTTATAATAAAATAATTCAATAAAAGTGTATATATAAGAAAATAACCCGTAATATTTACCTTTTAAGTATAATTTATCAATTTAATTACTTTTTATTTGATAAAGATTATTTTCTAACCAAACAATTGGTAATATTTACAAGTTATTGAACCAACCTTCATATTTCCGGTCAAATGAGTACACAAGATGAAATACATGTTCATTGCACGAAATCTTAATATTAATTGAGTTGCCAAATTGTATATTGCATAAGAATTATTCATACCATAAGAGAAAATTGCACTTTTGGTCCTATGACTATAGGGGAGGTGGTAATTTCAGTTCGTGACTTTTAAAACTAACAAATTTAGTCCTTTTAGTATGCTTTTTTTAGCAAATTTGGTCCTTCCGGCCAAATCACAGGCCAAAAGTCACCGGAAAAATGTAAATCATTTTTTATTATTTAACTATGAGGACAAATTGGTCATTTCCTAGTCATTTCTTCTTCTTTCTCTTCCTCTTCGGCTGGCCTTCGAAAATCCCGGTTTCGTGAGCTCCGAACGCCATGATGACAAATAGTAACAGAAATGCATTCCATATAAGGGACTGAATCACCCCATTTCTCATACTACCTCTCTTCTTCTTCTTCTTCTTCTTCAACGCAATTTCATAACTGGAAATGGATGTTCAACCCACTGCTCTTCTCAACTGGGCACTTCTCTGCCAAGGAAAGGTTAGTAGCTCTATCTTGTTTTTCCGGTGCCTGGAGTTTTGTTTTTTTAGCCATTCAACTTAAAACTGAATTGCCCTCTGTAATGGGTACACATTTTCTTGAAATGTTTTGAAGAAATTAAATTAAAGTTTGTGACTTTGTTGTTGAAACAGAGCATGGATGAGCTGCGGCAGTGGCTGTTAATGACGACTTTGGAGTTGGAGAAAACAAGGGTGAAAGCTCAAGAGGAGCTGGAAATGAGAGAGAATCAGATTGTTCAGCTCAAAGATATGCTGAGCAGAGCGATGAAGGAGAAGATTGATGCAGAGGAGAAGTGTCATAGGTTACTGTTTGAGAGGCTTCTGTTGCAGCAGCAGCCGCCGCCGGCGGCGGCTCCAATCTCTGGGGTTTCAAGCGTTGAAGATGAGCCGAGAAGGGGAGTGGATTATCACTCCAATAATGGCTTCTCCTCCTCCGATTCTGACGAGAGCATCGTCTCCTCGCCGGCGCCGGCGCCCCAAGATTTGCCGATTGTGATAGATAAGCCCTTGCCGGAAAAGGGGAAGTTTTTGCAGGAAGTGATGAAAGCAGGGCCGCTTCTTCAGACACTTTTGCTGGCTGGCCCTCTCCCCCAGTGGCGCCACCCTCCTCCCCCCATGGAAATGGGAAGTGGGAGCAGATGAAATGCTAAGCTTTCTCCGGCGGAGATGTTTGGCAAGGAGGAAGAGAAAGAAGAAGAAATGACTAGGAAATGACCAATTTGTCCTCATAGTTAAATAATAAAAAATGATTTACATTTTTCCAGTGACTTTTAGCCTGTGATTTGGCCGGAAGGACCAAATCTGCTAAAAAAAGCATACTAAAAGGACTAAATTTGTTAGTTTTAAAATTCACGAACTGAAATTACCACCTCTCCTATAGTCATAGGACCAAAAGTGTAATTTTCTCCATACCATAATATGAATTATAACCAATTTAATAAATCTAAATATTAACAAGTATGTATGGTAATATTATTTCATATGAACGTAATACCATAATATATATATATATATATATATATATATATATATATATTAAAAGTAAAATCCTCCAACATCACTTTCACGTCCAAACTTTTGTACTAAATTAATTAAATATTTTATATTTTTTAGTCAAATAATTAATAAATCTTATTTGGTAAGCATATGTTTAATATAAATTAATTAAAATGTATTAATTGGTAATATTGCATAATTATGGTATTGTAAATGTATTAATTGCTAATCAATTTATAGTAACATGAATATTATGTATAGGAATAACAGATGAAACACGGATTTGGAAAAGGAAATTGAAATTATGCAAATTCAAAAAGGAAACGTATATTATTAATGGACTGAAAATTATAAAAATCCCTAATTGACTGAATAGAAAAGGAAATGAAAAATGAAACTTATATTATTAATTTAAAATTCTCACATTCTCTACCTATAAATACAATCCATTAGTGACAAAAAAAAATGGAGAGATTTTTTTTTTTTTTTTAAACCAGAAGTTTCAGATTCTATGTTTTTTCGTATACAAATTTATAATTGTAAATTTATATTAATAAATAATCATTAAGACAAGTATAATTTATTTTATATTTTGGACAGATTACTTTTAATAATTTTGATTTAGTAATATTATACCTTAATTATAAAAATTATACCTAATAATCTTAGTATTAAATGTCATACAATAATTATCATAAACAATGTTTAATAATTGACAAATTATATTAGGCAATAAAAATTACTATTATAAAATCTTTTGTAATATGCACACATTATTTTTAATTATTTCGATTTAATAATATTATATCTTATTTATAAAAATTCGAAGTAATACATTTAGTGGTATTGAATATTGATTGACTAAAAATTATCTTAATTATTAAGGTAATTAATAGGTATTTAGCTTTAAAAAAATTCAAATATATGAATTATACATAGTAGTATGGAATCAATTAGTAGGACAATTATATTAGGTAATCTAATTAATAATTTACTTTTTTAAAATTATATCCTCTTTTCTATAATTATATATATACTTAATGTATAATATTATTGACATAAAATAAATTATACTTACCTTAATATATAATTAATTTTTAATATAATTTTCTAATTTTTATTAATGGTAATTATTCTAATAATTTTCTTTCTTTGTTTCGTGTAATTATTATGATAATTTTATGGAAAAGTGTTTAAATATTGGAAGAGAACAAATATTAGAATTAATATAATTAATGAAATTATTTTGGTAATTGCCACAATATTTATCAATTATAATTAATATAATTATTGAAAAATATAAGATTTCTTCCCTAGAAATATTTGTGATAATTTCATAAAATTATAATTAATAAAATATGAAATATAATTAAAGAAATGAAAGTATAATATTAACAAAAGATGAATATTTATAATTTTTAAAAAATATATACATACAATTATACACTATAATAATCATATACTATAATAACGACCTGGCATGGAAGATGCTTTGCTGGACCAAACCTCCGGATGGTATTCTCAAACTAAATATCGACGGAGTTGTTGTCAATGACTCGCATGCTGTAGGCTGTGGTGAGGTTTTTAGGGACTCGACGGGCACATGGAGGAAGGGCTTCCTGGTGAAGCTAGGCACATGTACACCTTTTGAAGCTGAAGCTTGGGCAATCCTAAAAGGGATTCAAACCGCTACTGCTCAAGGAATTAAGAGGATCCTCATAGAGAGCGACTCGAATGAAGCTGTTGACTTCCTTTGCAGCTCTAGACCCTCTGCCACTGCTACACTAGACAGGAGCTTCAACACTTTGAATACTGGCAGCTCACTTCCATCTTCAGAGAACAGAATTGTGTAGCAGACGCATTAGCTAAGATGGCTATCAACCACGACTATGGACTACTGTCTCTAATTGATCCTCCATATGACATTAGCGGAATTTTGGAGGATGACATGCTTGGTCTTCCCTCTTGGCGAAATGTAAATATTTTTGTGTAAAACAGTGCTCCCTATTGGGTATTCTCTTTCCTACATATAAAAAAAAAAATCTAAATGTAATTTTTGAATTATAAATCTATCAATATAAATTATAATTAATGAAATTATATTATAGAATTTTTCTATATACATATTAATAAATATTATGTGTATATACAATGTATTATACAATCATATAAGGTAATGCGTCCGATTAGAGTTTAAATTTATTCATACAGAATTTAGAATTTACATTTTTTTTATTGATTTTTAAGTACAATTCTCTTAGTTAGTATTCATATTTTTAGAATTATAATATATATAAAATACAATTACGAATAAATCAACTTAATTATATGAATTCTTTCAATAAATTTATCTAAATATATACATGATTAGAGATTATATTAACCATACAAAATTTAAATTTATGTGAATTTTTTTAATAAATTTTGTATGTTATGAAAATAGATACTTGACCAAATATACAAAAGTCCAACTATATTATTATATTGTACATTATAATGTATTTAATTGTTTTCTATTTTTAATTTTAAATTCATAATATAAAAAAAATTTCGTGCAACGCACCGGTAAAACACAATCGTTATACCCTGCACCACGGCGCGCGCAGCACTGTGCGTCCCGCGCCTCCCAAAACGACGTCGTTTTAGGAGGCGCGGAAGGGGGTTGACTTGATTATGTGTATTTGTTTATATCATTATGTGTATTTATTTATATAATTATGTGTATTTTTTTATACAGTTATGTGTATTTGTTTATACAATTATGTGTATTTGTTTATACAATTATGTGTATTTTTTATACAGTTATGTATTGCATCAGGGCGCACAGTGCAATGCGCGCCCTGGTGCACGATATAAATTGCCGATAAAACACTATATTTTTAAAAAATACAATTTGATAAGTATCATAAATTAATTAGTACAATATCATTTCTGTTTATAATAATTAAAGAAAAATAAATAATTCAAATATGTGAACCAATGATTTCAAAATAAAATTAATATACAGTTACAAATAAATATAGCATTATTAGATGTACTTTATTTAGTTTTAATTTTCTTAATGAAGTGACTTTTCTTTATCAATTTTTTATAGGAGACTAAGGGAGTGTGTGGGCCGCTGGAAAATATTTTAAAAATAAAAATACTTACTAATAAAAAATAATTTTAAAATATTTTTTAACCCCTCATAAAATGTGTAAATCTTATATTTTTTAAAAATACAATTTGATAAATATCATAAATTAATTAGTACAGTATCATTTCTGTTTATAATAATTAAAGAAAAAATAAATAATTCAAATATGTGAACCAATGATTTCAAAATGAAATTAATATACAGTTACAAATAAATATAGCATGATTAGATTTAATTTAATTAGTTTTAATTTCCTTAACGAAATGACTTTTCTTTATCCATTTTTTGATGGGATACTAACATAGCGTTTGGTTGGAATGGCGGAATTACGTGGGAAAGGAATTGCAATTTCATGAGAGATGAATTACTGGGAATAAAGTGGGAATTTAAATTCCAGTGTTTGGTATACGGGAATAGAATTACTGGGAATTTTAATTCCAATGTTTGGTATACATGGGAATTGAAAGGGAATAAGTAGTATAAAGTCTAAAATGCCAATTATTGTTGTGGTATTAATTTTAGGTTAAAAAAAAAAAAGGAGGGATAATTTTATCTTATCACTAGCTTTTTTTCTTCCTAAAATTCCAGGAATTAAAATACCGGGGGGGGGGGGGGGGGGTGACATGGGATTTTAATTCCATGAAAATGGGGGAATTACAATTCCATGGAATTGCAATTCCTTCCAACCAAACTAAGGAATTTTATGGCCTTTGAAATTAAGTGGGAAGGGAATTTAAACTCCCTCCAACCAAATGCCCTGTAAGGGAGTGTTTGGATTGCTCGAAAATCTATAATATAATTAAAAACAAAATTCTATTTACTTGATTTCCCGCTCAAACAATAGTAAATAGTAAAGGTAAATTAAAAAAGGAACATAAATATTTCACAATAATTCTCTACATCATCATCAATTAAAAATAGAACAAAAATTAGGTAAATTAAAAAATAAATGAATATTAATAATTGATTGAAAATTAAAAAAAAAAAAAGAAACAGAAATTCGATTAATTGGAAAAGGAAATGAATATTAATAATTGACTAAAAATAAAAAATGATCTATAATTGACTAAAATAGAAAATAAAATTGTCAGATTATTGAATTTTAATTTTTCACAATTAGAATAAATCAAATCACAATTATATCATAAATCTTTCACAATTTTAAGCAATGAAACAAAAATTAAAAATGGAACGAAAATATTTCAATAATAATATTCTACATCATCAAGTAAAAGTAAATAAAAAATGGAAAGGAAATATTTCAATAATAATATTCTACATCATCAATAGTAAAGACATATTTTAAACAATAGTAAAGATAAACTAAAAATGAAACGGAAATATTTCAATAAAAATATTCTACATCATCAATTAAAAATGGTTCGGATAGGTAAAAATATCAATGCATCTAATATTCTAATTGACTAACTGACTAAAAATAAAAAAGAATAATTGGCTGAAAATGAATATGATATTACTAATTGACTGAAAATAAAGGATCATTAATTGA